GTATGTCTGAAGCGAGCTTTGATTCTTCTAATCCTAACTCCATGCTTATTCATTAATAAAGTAACATTACCCATAAACGAACGATCCTCATCACATTGCAACAATCGAGGATATGTAAGAGGATTATTAGGTTTTTCATATATACTCCTAAACGCATCTGCAACTTCTGAGCTATTTTTAGATGTTAAAAAAACGAAATCTCTAAACCTACTAGCACAATCTATAATTAATAAAACATATTAAAATATTTCATTGTTTTTATCCGATAAATTTGTGTTCTCGAGCAAATCTTCATCATATGGTATTTCAACTAAATCGCACGTATGTACACTGTTTGGTTTTGAGATTCTAGAATAGCTGGTATAAGGTATATTCTTTGGTGAAGGGCGATAAATTTGATGCATTTTCTGAGGTTCAAGCCATTTTTTTATTATGGTAAGTGGAAAGTTATATCCAGCCTTTCTACAAGCATCTCGTAATCTTTCAGCATTTTGGTAATAACCTTCAGGGCAATAGTATGATTTTTGTAGAATTATTTCTCTATCCAAATCGCGGGCCCTCTGTGGGTCAATATAAATTACAGGTTGATCCATTCCTTTCGAGTATTAATAATCCGTAAAAAATAACCATGGAGGAATTACGGCAAGTTAACCAAGAATTACATGAAGAACTCAAGCGATTAGCACAATCAAATCGGGATTATGAGTATATAAATTACAGTCTCGAAAAACAGATAGCTATACGTGAGAAAAGAATCCAAGTTTTGGAAGATGAGCTTGAAAGCGTTATATCCCTTTCTAGTCAAGAGAAAGAGGAATTACGGAAAGAAATCTCCGATTTAAAAAAATCGCTATATCAAGCTAGAAAAGAAATCCGGCAAAAAGAGAAGGATCTCACCATTAGAGAAAATCAATTAGCTGAAATTGATGTAAGAGAAAAGAAACTCAAAACCCGAATTCGAGAAATATCAAAATCTGCAGGTAATACTCCTAAAGCATATACCCAAACGGTAAAGTTAATAGATGAGAATGAACGTCTCAAACGTGAAATCGATACTTTAAAATATAATCTTAGAGATCGAGACAATA